GAGTCCCTATCCACGAACTCGCATCAAATTTGGCGTATCCACAGCGTAACATGAGATAACATGACATCTAGGAAAAATATTTTAAAATTATATAAAATCCATGGAAGTTATATAAAATAAAAAACTTGGCGAGATATCATGTTATCTCATGTGTGTGTGGTAAAAATTGAGAAGGTTTGATGCAAGTTCGTGGATAGGGAATCAACATGCACCAATTAGGTTTCGGGAATAACATTTTTCAAACACTACATTGCAATATTCAGCCATCACCATGCTTCTCGGCAGCTCAAATTTGACATATTCAAAAAAAATCAAAGAATCAAATAAATTAAGGAAATATACGAAAAAAAAAAATCAAAATTGGCCTAAATTTTAAAATTGAGTTCAAAACAATGTATTGTAGGACCACAAAAAATTGGGCTAAAAACAAAAAATTGTCGAGGGAACTAACCCATGGCCCTCGGCAAAGAATTTTAAAAAAAAATCTTTGCCAAGGGCCTATCCTGTCCCTCGGCAAAAGGCTTCTTTGCCGAGGTCCTAGCCTCGGGTCCTCGGCAAAGACGATTTATAAAAAAAAATTGGCCGAAAAACTGGTTTTAAAAAAATCTTTGCCGAGGGCCTAGTCTAGGGCCCTTGGCAAAGACTTAAAAAAAATTGCCGAAAAAGCTGGTTTCACAGAAAAAAAGCCTTTGCCGAGCACTACTGGAATCTCGCATTTTTCTGTGGGTGATAAATTTTTCTGTGCATTTTTTTCGGTACGCACAGAAAAATTATGATTTTTCTGTCGGTTCCAAAATATCCCGACAGAAAAATACTAAAACCCACAGAAAAATCGCATAATTTTTCTGTGCGTGACAATACACACACGGAAAAAATAAACACCCACAGAAAAATACAATTTATTATGTCGGTTCTTTAAAAATGCACAGAAAAAATATGTACATGCACAGAAAAATCCAACCCTAACCCGCCGGCCGCCGCGCCTCCAAACACCCTCTCACGCACGCACTAGACCGCGCCCCCTCCCTCACTCTCCTTTTAGCGCACCCCTCCCTCTGCGACTTAGCGCCGCGCCCCTCCCCGAGCAGCGCCGCCACTCCCTCTCCTCCCTCTCCCTCTTCATCGACGCGGCGGGCGCGGCCCCTCTCCTTCACCCCCAGATCCGGCCAAATCCATGGCGGGCGCGCCCCTAGGTGGCTGGATCCGCCGCCGACCGAGCCGATCTGCACCCTCCCCCTTCTTCTCCCATGGCGCCCTTCCCCCCTTCTTCCCGGTGGTGCCCTCCCTCCCCTTCTTCACCCGGCCAGATCTGGCCCTCCCTCTCCTGGATCCAGGCGGCGGGGCATGGAGGCGGCCTCTTATCCTCCCGAGCACAGCCCTCACGGCGTGCAGGCCCTCCCAAGCATGGTGGATCTAGAGCCCCTTCTTAGCCCGACATCCAGATCTGCAGCTCCAAGTGCAACCACATCAGGGCAGTTGCAGCTCCGAGTGCAGCCTCCTTCCAGTGGCCGAGGTGAGCCCTTTGCCAACGACAAGCACCCACAACACAAGCCAGGTATGCATGTTCCTTCTCTTCCCTTTTGTGCAAATTTGAGAACGAACCCTAATTTAAGCTATTTGGTTATGTGTATTCAGAACAGATCTGATCTAATCCCATATGTATGCCATAGGATGTGGATTGAATTTTGTTAATATAACTAGTACTGATTTTTTTTACCAGAGCAATACATGTAAGATTACTCTGTTATGCTTAAGGAAGATGAAAGTGACATGTAAGATTACTCTATGCACTTCATTTTTGCTCTTAGTTGATGTTCATGCTGTTTTGTCTTCTCTATTTTAAGTGCCTACTAGGTGCAATATTAAATTATTTTTGTAGTCAACAATCTATAGGCAACAGATAGAGCACACTATGTGATTGTAGTCAACAAAGATGGTATTGGTGAACCCAGCCAGACATACTAGGCATTCAGGGAATTTGCCAATATGAGATGACCCAAATGATTTAAGTGAACAGCTCTATCTTGAGTTGGTAGTTGCTATCAGACACTATCTTGAGTTGGTAGCATCTGAATTTAATATGCGGCGTGATCCGGCGCGGCTTGGGGGCACAAGCATGTTGGCACAAGCAGAAGTCTGACCACTAGAAATGTTTGTACTTATTTCAGTTTGTGGGTTGGTGATTCCAGTGCCTTTAAGTGCCGATGAAGGATAAGACACTGTGAATTTATATGATGACTAGCAGTAGTAACATTTGTATATTTAGTAAAAAATTAATATTTCTAGGTCATATGCGGTTGTGTTAGAATTAAATTAAAAAGAGATCTAGTGAGATTGATATGTGGTTCGTAGTAGAATTGAAAATACTGAGTTATGTATATGTTGCTTGCGTCTAAAAATTCAGACCATGCATTAGCAGATTACTCTGTCTCTGATTGAAACAATGTCTTATTTCTTAGCAATAATTTGGATATTTTTGTGAAAGCGCTGACTAGTATAGCACCTCATGTATGTTACTACATATTGAATTGCTTCTCTGATTGACACATTCAAAAATATTTCAGCTTTAGGGGACTGAAATTGGGGTGCATCCTGCAGCTTGGAGATGCTATAAAAGCAGTATCTTGAATATCTTGCATGTATCAACCTAATCAATCATTTTGACATGTGATATTTGTGGAGTGAGATGATATGGAACCCTAGTCTCGTGTCACTGTTTGCTCTCCCTTCCCTAACTATGCCTTGTGACTTTTTTGGTTTTGTACTACTCTTGAGTGGCTGTGATGAATCAAGTTTCCATTAGAGAACTTCTGCACTTTAGCACCTTATAAGCTGGTACTTGAGATATTTTGTTTTGTTTGCTGCTTAACTAGGATGGCTTGTACCAGTACAAGCAACCAGTTCTGTGGCCAGTTCAATTCCCATTAGAGAGAGAATTAAATTAAGCTCCAGGTGAAATTAAGTTACAGTTGTAAGGCTGATAATGGGTAAATCTGAGCCATTTCTCGAGTTCTTTTGCTCTTGATAATGGGTAAATTTCTGTAGATCGTCACTGTCTTGTGGTATTTCTTCTGTGAAATTTTGGCCGGAACTTTTGTCTTCTTCTGATTATAAGTGCTTGGCTGCTCCTCCCATTGACAGTTGCTTTATCTCAATGCCTTGTAGTAAATATGATGGCAACTGCTTTCAGAAATCTAAGCATTTGTCGCCTAGATTTTGCACATGATGATGCCTAGTCCAATTTACAAACTGAGCAAAGTGCCTTGGTCGATGATGTTTACTTAACCCTAGGTGCTGGAGGAGCACCCTATGGTGTGGCAGCCGCGTCTTGCTTAAGTCCATAGCTCTGATTCTAGATCTAGTAAGGGTTCTTTGTGCTGAAGCATCTAGAATTTATGACACTGATGTTCAATCTCTTGATATGACTGTGATGTTCAAACTCTTGATATCTATTTGGCCAATGATGCAACATGAAAAATAAACTCTGAGGTGGCTGCAATTTGTTTTTTGTGCATTCTGTATGATTCTCATGACTGTCATCAAACCATGGGACATGATCTTAGTTTTCTTCTATCTGTTTTTTTTTTTGCCTTGGTAGCCACCTATGATTGAGTATATGGAAATTGTACCAACATATCATTAGGCTGAGGCCTCACTTACTTTGCCAATGATGATATCATATTAAGCATGCCAAGAACTGATGACCTTGAGCTTGTGTTGAGGTATTGGAACTTTGTTTCTTACTCTATTTGTTTCTTATGCTCCAAGCTCAAGGTCAACCGAGGAGCAACTAATATCTGAGGCCAATGTGTTTAATACTAATCATTTGATTACCATCTTATTATTGGTATTTTGTGTACGTGGGCTACATGCCATGCGCTCATGACATGTTTTTTTCTTCTTATTATTATTATTTTGAGATATCATCACTACTCTGTGCTAGTATATAACTGATCTGTGCTAGTATATAATTGATCTGTTTCTTTGCACTGTCTTATTATTATTTTGGTCTACAGATTTTTTTAGACATCTTTCTCATATAAGAAAACTTGCCCATTCTACCATGTTAGCTTTCTGTTATTGCATTCATGTGACAAACCACTCAAGATTACTCAACTTCTCACACGGAATATTATGGGTTCAACTTCTAGAAGAATGTTCTTCTCCTCTATTGTTAGTTCAAACCGTTGTCTTGGTGGAGGTGGACCCCTCTCATCCGGTCTCCTTGGGGGTCTCCCAGGATTGTTTCTTTGGCTGCTCCAGTTACCAGATTTGGCACCCCATCCATCTGCTTTCCTTCCGGTCCTTGTTACCAGATTTGGCACCCTATCTCCATATATTTTCTGGGTCGACTGTTTCTGAGAGTTTATTTTGTGCCTAGAGCCATCGAATCCAAATCCAATACGTCCTTCTATGATCCTTCCAGTTCGTTTCATTGTTTCGGATTTTTTTTTCAACTTGGTGAGTACTGAGTAACTATCTACTAGTAGCAGCTAAGTCTAGTTTACTAGTACTTTGTTTTTTTGAGGTTCGGCTACTGATCAAAGCAGCTTGGAGTGATAAAAGTACTGAGGTTAGTGTCCACTGGTTCCGAGTTCCGACGGCCTGGCAGTTGAAACTGAGATATTTTGAATCATGTACATGTCGCGAAGGTACTCAAAGTGTGCACCAGACATGAGGGATCGAAACCTGTCGTGCTGACAACGGTCACTTACATGAGACCAGTGCATGGAAAGCTAATAAGGGCATAAAACATAAAGTCGATCATATGGAATAATGACAAGGGAATAAAGTCTGAAATAAGATGACTTGATCAAGTAATGCCATTATTGGGACACACGCATGCATGCAGACATCGGCGCAAGATGCTGTGTGCCATGCATGCCAGCTACTCGATCAGCTCCATATATAATGCGTAGAGCCCAGCCCATGGGTGTGTGGGTCACTCAAAAGCTTCACTTCACCCCAATCGGCCAATCCCAGCAGCACCCAACAGCAGAATGGCGGATCAGAACGATGCGGAGTCCGGTGAAGCTAGGAAGAAGAACCCGCCATCGATATCACCAATGGAGTACCAGCTGAAGAAGTACCTGCTGCTGCTGGCCACCCTGGTGGCGACGGTGACCTACGCGGCGGGGCTCAACCCGCCGGGGGGTTCCTGGCTGGAGGACGACACCGACACGCCGTCGGGCTCGGGCGGCGGAGGTCGACGGCACTTGGCCGGGGACTCCATCCTCCGGCAGACCAACTACATCCGCTACATCGTCTTCTACTGCTTCAACGCTATCTCCTTCGCGGCGTCGCTCGTCGTCAGCCTCCTCCTCCTCCTCCTGCACAGGGGCGACCAGGGCTGGCTGCTCAAGCTCACGCGGGCGATCATGGTGGTCGACCTGCTCGGCCTCATGGGCGCCTACGCCGCAGGAGGCAGCCACGACAGGTTCACCACGGTCTGCGCCGCCGGGCTGGTCGGCGCCACCTTTGCCTGCATCATCTTCGTCGTCCCCTGCATGATATTTAAACAAGACACGGCGGCGGCGGCGGCGGTGGGGGCATCGCGGAACGACGGCCACGACAATAACGACGACCACGAGCAGCAGTCCAAGCACGAGATCCTGCTGGTGCTCGCCATCTTCGTGGCCACCATCGCCTACGTGGCCGGGCTGAACCCACCGGGTGGCTTCTGGCGGAGCACGGAGGAAGGTCACCACACCGCCGGCGACCCCGTGCTGCAGGGCTTCCATCCGATCCGCTACAAGTTCTTCTTCTTCAGCAACACCGCCGCCTTCGTAACGTCCCTGCTGGCTATCACCATCACCGCCCACGAGAAGGTGGACCTCAAGGCTGTCAAGGTTCCGTTGTGTGGGCTCATCATCACGGCGATCTTGGGCCTCAGCGGCGCCTACGCCGCTGGGAGCTGCAGGGACAGCAGGCACACCGGCTACGTTCTAGCCCTAATTGTCCCAGTTCTTGGCTGCATCTTTCTCCAACGGTTTCTTGCCATCAAGCTGCGACATCACTTCGGCTTTGGTAGCGGGTATGCAGTATTTGTCTTTATCTTTGGCAAGCGTAGTTTAAATTTGAAGTTGAAATTTCATTTGGAAACAACGCATTTACCAGATTCGAACTAAACATCTTGATCTTTACTAATTCAAACTTGTTGATATATCTTTAACAAAAACTAGATACGCCTAACTAGATAATTAATCAACCAATAATGTGCTCCTACACTGGCTAAGATCTCAGGTGACATAAGTGTACATTAAAAGTTTGTGAACAAATTTAGAAACTTTTTTTAGATAACGGGAGTTCCGGCTTAAGAGGCATCGCTCCAACAGAATACGACAAGTAGGAAACAAAAAAGTGTTCAACATTATTGACCAATACAAAATCTTAAAGGTCATCCATGAGAAGCAAAAAAACTCCATTGCTCTGATTTCTAGAACTTTCCACGCAGAAATTAACCAATCCTTTTGGTCATTAGTGCGCTGCAACAGAGCCCATAAACGAAGCCTGTGTGTCCCCCTGAGGAGTACCTACAAAAAGTTTTTGTTAGGCCATTTTTTAACACAAAATCATTCCTACTAAACCAAATTGCCCAGCAAACTACTGCAGTTCCTGTCAATAACAAAGACCTAAGATTTTGACCCCTTGCTTAGTCCAAGAATTAAACAGATAATTTATATTCTATGGAGGTTTGATGCCTAATACAAAGTACACAGGATGCCACAAGGCTTTGGCATAATGACACTTGAAGAAAAGGTGTTAGATAGTTTCTAACTCACTGCAAAAGCAACACAATTTACTACCATTCCAATTTCTTCTAGCTAAAGTATCCTTTGTAAAAATAATCCCTCATTTAAAGTACCACATAAAAATTTTATTTTGAGAGGCAATTTCAAATGCCAAATTTCTTGTGTGACCTTAACTCCATTATTGACAAGATAACTATACATAGATTTGACCGTAAAAATGCCATCTTTGTGAAGACCCCACATGCCCACAGAAAAGAATCCAAACCCTCATTTAAATTAATAAAAGTCACGAAAGGGTCTCTAGCCTAGTGGTTAGAGCACTTGAGTAGCATCCAGCATGCTTGGGTTCGACTCTCCATGGGACAAAATTTAAACAGATCTAGTATTAAAAAAGTTATTAAAAAATAGGTTGGAGTTTCCCCGCTGACTTTGGTCAAAAAAATTAATAAAAGCCACACTAGCAACAATATTGTGCCAGTCAGTTAGCCTATTGCCCACTAAAGATCTTTTGAAGGAGACAATGACACTGAAATCTCAATCCCATTACAATAAATTCAGCAATTATTCTATATATTTCTCCATCTATATTCATAATTTTCTCGTTGTATTGGACCTTCTCATGTGTGTATTCAATATTTGTTTATTTGAAGGTTATAATTTTCTCGTTGTATTGGACCTTCTCATGCGTGTATTCAATATTTGTTTATTTGAAGGTTTTGCTTAAGCTATGTCAGCTCTTAGTTGCTAATTAAGTCTAGTGACTTCAAAAAACTAGATTTGGGATTTTAATCTTTGATCTTAATTCCTGAAATCTTTTGACCCATAAGTTAAGTTAAAGCTATAAGTAGTTATTTTGTAGTTGTTACAATGGCATAAATAGTTATTTTCAGCATGTAACATGATCGATTCTCTATATTCTAAACTTGATCTAAGAAAGGATTATGTGTATCAAACTATCAATGTAGATGTCCTTTTAAACTATCAATGTAGATGTCCTTTAAAAAAACTATCAATGTATATGTCGTTTTAAAAATACTCGGTCTGCGGGTGGAAGACGCCCCCGAGCATTGTGCTTTAAGGTAGAAAGACCTCTCATGCATGCCGAGGAAATCCCCGAACCACATGCCCCGCCCTTACACAGTGGCACCATCGCTCTGTGAGTGGGCTGGTCTTTAGACCTGTGCTTTGGAACGTAGGACAGGCGAGGCGATTTTTTTAATTCTAAAGTTATAATTTTTATATGAAGTAACATTGTACATAGTTTATTATTATAGGGTATTAATATGATTTAAAATAAATTGTTAGTGCCATTGGTATGTGATTTATTAAGGGGACATTTTTCATGATTGAAAAACTATAAAGTTATGTATTTATCTCTTATACATGCATGTGTATATGTTTGGTATTCATGGTAGCACGTAGCACACATCATGTAGGTGGGCAATTTATGTAAAAGTATTTAGGGGTTACTTTATGCTATTTTTTGATAATGTCATTGTTTGATAGTTTAGTTGAAGATTTGGGTAACTTTTCATTATTTTTCATAACGGAAAGGGTGTGTAATTTTTTTTTGAAAGGGGTGTGTAATTTTTTTATAAAAATGAAACAAATACAATGTTGATTATTATGGCAATGATAGTTCAAGTTATTTACCGAATTAGTCGCCAAGCATTTCAAATTTTTTTAGATTTTTCATTAGTATCGTTTTGTCACCAAATGATAGTTATGTATTATTCTAGATTGCAAATTTGTAGTCATCTACTATTTGTGCAATATATTTAGGTCAACGAGCAGTGGAGAACACAATGATCTGGAGAAGCCTCGTGAAGTCATTCAGCTACTCGCCACTCTCGCGGCGACGGTCGCGTACCAAGCAGGAGTGGATCCACCTGGCGGCGTCTGGGCTGACACCGGGGAGGGCCACATCGTCGGAGACCCGATCCTCCTGACGACGCATCCCGGGCGGTACAGGGTCTTCTTCTACTTCAACTCGGCGGCCTTTGTGGCGTCCCTGGTCATCATGGTGATGCTGCAGAGCGAGCGCCTCGTGAGAGGGCACGCGCTGGAGGCGGCCATGATCCTGGACCTGTTCGGCCTCATAGGCGCGTACGCCGCTGGGAGCAGCAGGGACACGAGCACGTCCATCTACACGCTCGCCATCGCCGGCGGCGTCCTTGTCTACGTGGTGATCCACATCGTGTTCTTTACGCTAGACCACCATCCCAGCAGCAAGAAGCAGGGCGGTGAGGAAGCTAAGAAGAAGGAGGATGTGATGGAGAAGAAGCGCGAGGTGCTGCTGCTCCTCGCGATCTTGGCGGCAACCCTCACCTATCAGGCTGGCTTGACGCCGCCGGGCGGCCTGTGGGAGAACGATAGCTCCGGGCACCGCGCCGGCTTCCCGGTGCTCCTGGACAAGTACCCTCGCCGTTACAAGGCCTTCTTCTACTGCAACGCGGCGAGCTTCATGGCGTCCGTGGCGCTCATCGTGCTCCTCCTCAACCCAACCCTTTATGCGCCGGGCATCAGGTGCTACGCGCTCTTTGTCTGCATGGTGGCCGGCATGTTCAGCCTCATCGGTGCATACGCTGCCGGAAGCTCCCTGCATCTGGGAACCTCCATTGTTGACCTGGCATTGGTTATTGCGGTTTTCGCAATCGTAGTCTATGTGGCCATCATCCGCCATGGTCAGCAAAACAGGCAGCGGAAAAGTCAAGCCGCACAAGATAGCAAGAACGACCAGTCCTCAACGACGACAACTCAAACACATAGTCAGTCTTCAGACGACCGAAGAACTCCAGAGCAGAAACCAGCAGATTTGAAGAAAGAGTCGTTGGACATGATGATGGCCAAGTACCTGATGCTGGTAGGGATACTGGCTGCCAGCGTCACCTACCTCACCGGCCTGAAACCACCGGGTGGCCTGTGGAGGGAGGACGGCGCCGGGCACGACGCCGGCAACCCGGTCCTCTACGACGTCGACAGGCATCGGTACAACGCTTTCTTCTACAGCAACTCCACTTCCTTCATGGCTTCCATCACCGTCATCGCCCTCCTGCTTTCGCGGATGATACTTGGAAGCAACAAGCCTCTTTGGCCCATGCACACGGCCATGCTGCTGGACATGCTCGCCCTCCTGGGATCCTACGCCGCAGGCAGCGCTCGGGACTGGTGCACGTCCAAGGATGTCGCCCTGCTTCTCTTCCCTATACTGGGCTTCGTTTTGCTGCTCTTCTTCTGGAAGAAAGAGCCACAATCTGCCGCCACCCAACAGAATGCTCACTCCTAGTGCAGCCTACACTCCGCCTGCTTGCCAACATGGACATGCTTAACACTGATCTATCTGCTGTTATTGTTGTGAATATCGTCTGCTGCTTGTTTGATTTAATTTAATAAGCTTTCTAGCAAAGTCTTTAATTGTAGCATACTTTCTAATAAAGTTGGAAACTTGGATTCCAAGGTGTGTGTAGAGATGTCGAGTTGTTTGCACCCTTATGTATTCATTTGCTATATAAGAGAATAATATATAATGAACAAAAAGCATCTACGGATGTCATTATGTGGAACCAAATTAACATGTATCTAGTTGTCGATGTATATCATTAGGTAGCAAGTCGATATAAACATTGACATCCTGAATTCAAATATCTCAAGAGTAAGCATTTGGCAGTAAGTCGATATAAATCATGCATAACCATAATATAGTTCAATGCAAGCTACCAAACGGTTTTATCAACTTTAGCACTTAAATCACGCAAATAGACGGTAATGGGGCCCTTCATTCACCTAAACCACTCCCAACATCATTGGATGTGTTTTTAGAAGAAAAAAAACGAGCACTACTGGAAACAGTAGGTATGCCGAGTGCCTGAGGGTTTGCCGAGTGCATTCTATCGGGCACTCAGCAAACCTGTTGTGTGCCGAGTGCCGCTGTGGAAACATTCGGCAAACATATTGCACTCGGCAGAAAACCCTATTTGCCGAGTGCCTTAGGCAAACATCAGGCACTAGGCAAAATAGCAGCACGTGCGCCGGCCATGCAACGCCCGCCAGCTTGATCGCCCTGCTGTTAGAACTTGCCGAGTGTCCGTTAGTGACACTCGGCAAATACATTATTTGCCGAGTGTTTCTTTGTGGCACTCGGCAAATTAATCATTTTGACGAGTGTTTTGTGCTGGCTCTCTACAAAGCCTAAACTTTTTCCCCCTTCTACCCTTGAAACTTTTTCTACTCTATACATACAACATGTGGTACTCCATGTTAAGATTTGGTATATTTCTAGAACCGTTTGCTATATTTAATTAATTTATTGCATTTCAAGGAATTTTTTGGTATAAGTCAAATTCGAACTACAAAAGATTCAAATAATAGAATAAAATGAGTAAAAAAATGATATTCATGTTATTGAGTCCGGTGTGAGGCCTTACTAGGAAAATGAAAAGAAATTTCGAACATCTTGTTCAAGAAACACGACCACGAACGTGTGGCCGAATGGTTTTTAAATTCTAAAAAAAGCAAACGAAGTCTGAAAATCATGAGATTTGTCAAGATCTCGTGATATCATACGTGGAGGCTGTGGTAAAAAATTGCGAAGGTTTCGAACAATCTATCATGTATGATGTTTACAAACCGAGGTATCTCAGAAGAAGAATCGTAGCGTTGAGAAGGATTTTGGTAAGATTTGGAGTCAAAGTAATGGTCGAATTAGGGTTTGACTTCAGAACTTTTTGTATAGGCAATAGAGAACATAGATTGACTTCAGAATTTTTTGTATAGGCAATAGAGAACAAAGATTGATTCATGTGTAATTTTGGTAATTTCTTTGGATCCGTGCAATTATAGAATTTTAATTGATATACATTGAATTTGAGCGACAAACTGCACGAAATAATAACTTTTTTTCACTTATGGCCTTGAAACTTTTTCTACTTTCTGCATACAACATGTGGTACTCCATGTTAAGATTTGGTATATTATAATGGAATAATATTGGTAGAAAAATCAAATGAAAAAAAGAAGGAAACGAAGGGAAAAAAAAGTGGGTTTGCCGAGTGCCCCTAATCTGGCACTCGGCAAACATCTTTAAGGGCCCCACACATACGCAGTTTAGGTATTGAGAATTAAAAAAAAACAAAACGGGGGTTTGCCGAGTGCTAGATCGCGGGCACTCAGCAAACCTCCCTCGTAACCACCCCAATCCTGCACCCCGCACTTTACGCACACCTCAAACCTTGACACACACGCCCACGCCGCCTTGCCCACCACCCGCCCCGCCCCCCCCTTGGCGCCACACCAGCCCCCGGGCTGCTGTTGGTCTCGCGTGCCGCCGCCCGCCCACACCCGCCGACGCCGCTGGTCCTGCGCCCACCCGCACCACGCCGCCGCGGAGGCCAACCGCCACTGCAGAAGCTCAATGCCGCCACCACCCCGGAAGCTCGACGCTTGAGACCACTGCTTTGTCTCCTCCGCCCTGGCGCTTTGGCGGTAGGCACCCCGTTAATAACGCCCGGTGCCCTCTCCCGGCCTCGCACGTCCACGCCAGCCTCCCATGCACCGTCCCCGCGACCTTGCTGGCCTCCCGTGTCGTCGCATGAAGCTCAGCGCCACCACCGCCTTGAAGCCAGCCGCCGCCGCCGCTGCCATCCCCTCCGGCCTGTGCACGCCTAGCGGCCGGCACCCCCGTTGGGAGGCACCGGTGCCCTCTCCCGGCCCCGCGCGCCCTCCCCGCGACCCTGCTGGCCTCCCGCGCTGCCGCGGGTGTCGTCTCCGACCTCCAATGACCCGGCCGGCCTCCGTCTTGCCGCCAGAGACGAAGCTCTCCACAGTAAGCACTTCTCTAAGCATTTTTTCTTGCCCTCTTTTTTTCCAGACTTAGTTCCAAACTTCCAATCAATTAAGTGCTCGATGAAATTCCATTATTAATATTTTTATGGATGTCTCATGTCTGTACCCTGAGTTCAAGAAGATGTTGGTCACGGTAAACATATTGGCTCATGGAAAATTGATGAATTTTAGTTGCACTCATTGTCTTTCTCAAGTGAGTACTACAAAATTGATGATTTTCTTTTGGGGTTCTTGGTATATATTGACATTGATAAAAGTTCTGAGATTCGGTGCTTAGGCATTAATCTATTCATGTGATGTTTTAGTGTCAAGCCCTGCTTGTACTATGCATCCTGATTGTACACATTTCCAGGATTGCTTTATCTAGTTACTAGCATCTCGTTGTGTTCTTAGTCCCTGATATCTTGCAATATGGTTCATTTTGGTTCAGTGTAATCGATCAGTTCCATCATGAAGATGCATTTTCTTGTCGCAATGTCTTGAAGTTAAGAACAAGTTCCTATTGTGATCATCGTAGCATGTGTATGTGGTTGTCGGCCATCGTGCCGTTGATTTGATGTGTATGTGGTTGTCAGCCATCGTGCCGTTGGTTTGATGTGTATGTGGTTGTCGGCCATCGTGCTGTTGGTTTGTTGTAGGTTTTGGTTACCTCACCGTGCAGGGGAGGTGCTGCCGAAATTTACAATTGACACTATTGTGTTCATTTGTTGCAGGAGAGGCTATTGCAACGATTATTCCCCACCGTCCTCGACTCGTCACTTTGCAGGACAGCAAGGTGAGGCATCCTACACCCCTCTTTCCATATCATGTTTGTATATCACGTAACCTAGCTAGGCGTCTCCCGTTCGAAAGAGATACGGTTGGAAATATGTAGATCTTTGCATATCTATAACCGTATCTGTTTCGAATTGTCCATGTTTTTTGGACAGTTGGAGTTGGAGGATGTGTAGATGGAGTTAGTTTCCATGCTCTACTCGGATCCAAGACAGAGTTTCAGCAGCATCTCCCTGTTGTTCTCTGGATACACAATCTCCCTACCAGGATGTGTATTTGGAGAACAGCGGGGAGGTGTTGCCGAAATTCTGTCTCGGATAGGAGTAGAGCATGGAAACTAACCCCATCTACACATCCTCGGGTGGGATTAGGACCTATCTTCACCTATTAGACAGTATAGGAACATGTAGATGCAATTGATTTTTATATTACTTGGTGATATGTTAGAGGATGGAAGACCGTGGGTGGATGTACACAGGCCGCTCTAGTCAGGGTTCATTGATCGATGAATGGATTGAGAAGACCGATGCTTTCTTGGAACTAGCATTTGCAAGGGTTAAAGGAGCGCGTGGCACTTGGTGTCCCTGCAGCATTTGTGCAAACACGCGTCGACAAACAAAGGTGGTCATGGGTAAACATCTTTGCAAGAATGGATTTATGGCGGACTATACCCGGGGGATCTACCATGGTGAATCCGATCGTGTGAGAGATGAGGTCGTGAGACAACGCATCGGGGATTATGATGCTGATGTCGGGGTAGGAGACATGTTAAATGACTATCATGAAGCACACTTCGATGAAGGACGTAGGGAGGAGGAGCCAGAGCCAACCACAAAGGCGTATTACGATATGTTGTCTGCAGCATAGGAACCCCTTCACGGGCATGCCAAGGTTTCTCAACTGGATGCCATTAAACACCTAATGGCCGTAAAGTCCCAATTTAGCTTGAGTCGAGAAGCCTTTGATGTTATGCTGATAGTTGTTTGTAGTCTGCTCCTGGATGGTCACATCTTGCCAAAGAGCATGTATGAGGCACAGAAACTCCTTCGTGCACTTAAGATGCCATATGAGCAGATACATGCTTGTCTGAAGGGATGCATCTTATTTAGGAAAGAACATGCGGAAGCAAAGTACTATGTGAAGTGTAAATCATCTAGGTTCCTTGAGGTAGACTCGGGTGATGGTCAGAAGAGGCAGCTCGCCATCCCCGTGAAGATCCTACGGTACCTTCCATTCATACCGAGGATCCAACAGCTTTATACGACTGAGGAATCCATGAAACAGATGACATGGCACAAATACGGACGTCGATACAATCCTTAGAAGCTGGTGCATCCATCCGATGGTGAAGCATGGACAAGGTTTGATATGATTCATCGTGAGAAAGCTCTAGAGGCTCGTAATGTACGTGTTGCGCTGGCAACAGATGGGTTCAATCCTTATGGAATGGTGGCTGCCTCATACACTTGTTGGCCCATGTTCGTTATCCCTCTCAATCTCCCCCTTGGCGTCCTCTTTCAACGACAGAACATATTCTTGTCGTTGATAATTCCTGAACACCCAGGGAATAATATGAGTGTGTACATGGAGCCCCTGATTGATGATTTGGTCCGTGCTTGGGAGGAAGGGGTATGGACATACGACCGAGCTACAAAGACAAACTTCAAAATG